CTGGGAACTTCTCCTGTGGGGTGAGGGTTTTTCACTCCCCTTCCTGCTCCCTCTAGGTCTCCCCAGCTATCTCTGGGACAGGGGGCGTGGGGAAGTGATGCTACAGGAAGAATAAAGTTCCGAGAGGGCACAAAGGCTCTAATTGAGATAGAGTAAAACACAGGGAAATTATTCAGTGCTCTTACTCCGTCCCTATAAGAAAATCACTTCATTGTGCTAGAATCCTGGTCTGGGCCCCAACACAGCTCTACTGCATTTCATTGGCATCAGCTTATTTCGATTCAGTCCAGAGGGTACTAAGAAGTAATATTTGCATCTCTCCGCAGAGTTGACAAAGCACTTTAACAAACACAGGTTCTCTCTCCCACTCCATGTGCAGCATTGTTATGCGTTTTAGTCCCGACATAACCCTGAGCTCAAATGCAGCGCTCTTAACTACGTCTGTGACTCAGAAAGTAGGTAGTGCTTCACTCCAACAGTATCTGTAAGTTGACTTCTAGAGCGCCACGCGATCGGGTTAGAAGAGAACCTCTCCCTTGCCTCTACAGCCCAGAAGTCTGGGCGGGAGTGAGAGCAGGGCTTGGCAAGCCCTGTGTAAGACCCCCCCCACCACCCCATCGCAATCGCCTATCTGTAGACTTGCTTGAAATGGTACCTGGTTTCTTTCCATGCGCTTGATGATTAGACCGGGCTCAGACCCAAGAATACCACTTCATGCGAACAGGAAAATGAGGCTTAGAGAGAGCGACTCACCTAGTCTTTGAGGAAGGACATTGCCAAGGCAGAACTTGAACCTGGATCTTCTGGCCCCGTGCCCTGTGCTCTCCCAGCACCATGGGTGGCCTCCTTGTTTCCACTTGTTGCTAAGGTCAAAAAGAAAAAAAAAAAAGGCGAGTTCATGATGACATGGCCGCAAGCCATGGTGAGGTCACCCGCAAAGCTCCTACTTTCTATTCCGTTGTTTGGTTGGCTTTTCCCTAAAGGGGTCCGATGAGCTTGAAGGCATGTTGGCCAGTGTTCTGTGAACTCTCAGGGGTGATGTGAAATTACACATGCTGTATGCCCAGAGTCCCCAGAAACTTACCTTCGGAGTGTCTCGAAGGGTTTGGAATATCTGTGGGAACCGTGACCTAGAATCTTCAGGAAGCCCCTCTGGAGAATCTTGGCTGTGAACCGAATCCTGAGGATGGGAGCAAGTGTCTTCTCTCCCGGTTTACTCCTCCTCTCGCTGCCTTCCCTCACGCAGCGACGATGGCTTGGCCCTTGGCTCACCTGTGCCATGGCCAGTGCTTGAGTGGACGCTGGACATAAAAAAAGGTGAACACAATCGACTTGGGCCAGCCTCCGCGGGGCTGACACACGTGGCGGAGGGGCGGTGGGAGGGGTCAGTCATCAGGCCGAGGGGCAAGTAAACAAAACCAGTTGCGAGACTTGCTATATTACCTGAAGGGCAGACGAGGGCCAAGACTATAAAGCACAAAATGAATTTGCATGTGTTCTCGGAGTCGCGGCGAGGTCAGTGCGCCTGGAGCACAGTGAGCGAGGAGCAGGGGCGACCCCGGCAAGTCTGGGTTTCATTCTGGGATGAGTGGAAAACCACTGGTGGGGTTGAAGCAGGGAAGAGGTACGATTACATTTATATCTGATAGATCTGATAGATTATACCTGATAGATCTAGATAGATGATGGATGGATGGATGGATAGGAGAGCAGGATGGATGGATAGGAGAGCAGGATGGATGGATGGATAGGAGAGCAGAATGGATGGATGGTAGAGTTGTTAGCCACAGATGTAAGTGGCAAGAGTAGAAGCAAAGAGGAAAGACTTCCGGCTGTTGTCGATTCGGTTCTGATGAAACCCTGGTGGCTGAGGTTAGGGTGGCCATAGTGGGAACGGAGTAAAGTAGACACATGGAAGATTCCATCTGTAATTTCTGATGGGCAGGATGTGGGGACATGGCAGCATCATGGCCAGGTTGAGCCACTGTCCACTTTGGCAAAGGGAGGGGTGGCGTGGGGGTGACGGCGGTGTGTGTAGGTCACTCGGAACATGGCGGTCGTAAGACATCTTCCCATCACTCCCATCGAGGTCCCTGGGAATTGCCACTTTTCCTCTGGGCTGTGCTCAGCCAGCTCTGAGGACAGGAGGTCGCTGATGTGCCTGGCACTTCTGCTGCAAGACTAGCCCTCCAGTCCACATCTTCCCTAATAACCTTGTGTCTAAATTGTCGTGTCACACAAGGGCATGTTTAGAAATTAGCATTTGAAAAGAAGCCTCCTTGCTTTCGGTTTGAGCTGACATGGTCCCTTTTCCTCTGTGGAAATGAAATTTATTAATCATAATAAAACCATTGGATTCTGAAGGTAGAGGTCACCCCGAGGAGAAAAGGAGCCTGCTCATTTACGAGGAATAGTTCAGTGCCGCTGTATTTTTCTTCTGCCTCAGAAAAGAATACTGCCAAATTGTTACCTTGGGTTTTCCACAAAGGTCGAAGCTCTGCCCAGGGTTAGAGGCAACAAAGAATTTGCCGCTAAAGCACGCGGAGGGCAGAGGTGGGCGTCATCCTCACTGAATAGGTTCAGACTACCAACATGTTCTCTCCTCCAAAGACGAAAATCTTGCCCCAGTAAAACCTTTCCCCCGAATTCTAAAAAAAATAAGTTCTCGAAATGGGCACTGTCCTGCTCGTTTTGAAGGAATACCATCAAAGTGACACGCTGGCATCATTTACTAAAGTTCCCGGGAATTTTCAGTTTATCTTTGCATTTTAAGACCAGCTTTGCCGGGTGGAAGTACATGAAAATAACCCTATTAGTGGCCTCTTTTTCCCTCCAGACCAATGACAGACTATTTTCTCACAAAACGAAAAGCAGCACCAAACTCCTAGATCATGTCCTTTTTAGCCCCATTCACATCTCCTTCTAGTGATGTGGGCAGAGGCCCAACTTTCACGGGTGACCTCCGTGAATCTAAGATTTCTTCAAAAACTTCCTCCTCCCTCTTTAACACACCCTTGGTCTTGGACTTAGAACTGTTCTTCCTCCCAGAGAGAGGGAGTGTTGTTGCCCGAAAGCCATCTGAGGGAGACAAATCAATCACGGTGTCCCAAAGAATGGAGACCAAGAGGGGTTGACTGTTCGTTAGTTTCCCCGAGAGGGTCACCTCGGAAAAGAAACGTCCCTTCATGCCCTGGCTTTGCAGGATCAGGAGAACGTGGTGTGTTTAAGCAGGAAGCCTCATCTAGGTCATCTGAGCCCAGAGCCCTTGGAAACACACAGGCAGGCTTTAGGAGCAGGACACAGCCGGGGAGAACTTGGTATCATCAAAAATTTCTTTTCCCTGTGGGGGTCTAACTCGGACCCTAAAAGTTAAAGAAGCTCTCTTGGGTCTCATCCAGGCTTCGTCCCACTATCCCAGACTCTGGCGTGAGCTAGCAAGGGAGACCCACCAGTACATTCTTATCCTCCAGTTGTGAAAAAGATGGGAAGGAAAGGAAAGGATATAAATACAGGCAACTGAGACTTTACGAGATGAGAGGGAGCTAAAGGTTGACAGCAGACAAAGCATCTCTTCTTACCTCGTTCCTTCGTTCCCTAAAGTAAAGCCCAGGACTCACAAGCCCTTGGTAACGGACGTGCATCTCATGTAGTGGCCGGTACCCGTGTCCCCCCGCTGCCGTGCGCCTGGGCTGCTAACGGCGCAGAGCGGCTGCCTCCTTCAGAGAACTCCCCGCTGCCACAGAGAGTCCATTAGACCCAGAAGTTATCCTCCATTCCACACGGAAGCCCACAACTCCTGCTTAACTTCCACGGGCATTAAAAAACTGACTCCCTGTCTCCAGGTGGGGTCCTCTCTGGGGTGCAGCTCCCAGGGTCAGGCAGAAGTTAGTCTCCAGCTCAGACCACATCCTTGCTTCTCTTCTTTCTCAGTCCCCAACCCGCGTGCCCGTCCGCCCCCCCTCTGATAGGCTCCTCCACAAAGCAGGTGCAGGATAAGGATCTCCATTCCAGGGAACTTAACCTCGCTCAGCGCGCCTCAGCTTCGATCATTAGCAAGACCAGTGTGCAGACTCTCTCCAGGAAGGCGGCGGGCAGGTCATTCGAGTCAGGGTCTAGACACCATGTCCGGAGCCTTCGGGTTGCCCTGAGAGATTCAAGGATCAGCTCGGACTCCGTTTGGCCCTGTGACTCCGAGCAAGTAACTGAAACTCTCTGAACCTTCATTTCTGATTTGCTGCTGTGTTCGGCCCCGGACGCTCAGCAGGCATCCCTCTCTGTTTTTATTCCAAAGCCGGTCCTGAAGGGCATGGCAGTCCGGGGGGGGCCTGGGGGAGGGGCATGGAAAAACTCAAAGATGAGCTCTCGTCCTCAAGAAATATTGTTCCAAATGGGTCCCTTCTCCGAACCCGACCACTGACTGATGAGGCAGAAGTTCTGAGGTGATAGGATCGAAATCAAATCAGACTCATTCTTGAGTGGGGAGGGTGGGGGGGGGGGAGAAGTCCTACAAAGCCTTCAAGGGTCCTCCTGTTCAAGTACATCTGTTATTTTCTGAGATGGTGGACCCTCACGGCAGACTAGGCTGCTCGACCCTTTGTGACCTACCTTGTCTCGCTTGATTGGTAACAGCCGAATTAGCAGAAAAGACGGCGTCTCTAGAGAGACAGGTCCCCTGCGGGTACGGGGCTTCTTAAAACCACTCCTTCAAGTTGTTTCTTCTGCCTACCTCGGGCTCCGTGGTAGCTCTGCGAGCAGCGTAGGAAGGGCGCTACGAGAGAGAGGAAGATGCGTTATTATCTCACCAGAAATGCTAAGGGACGGAAGAATGCGCTGGACGCAGCCGGCCTCCTCCGATGTCGTGGGGCAGGTGGGAACGTGTCCCCAACCTCTGAAGACAAACAGGGCCTCTCCACACTGTCTCGGAATTCTTGTATGTTAGGGTTATCGGGACTCGGCAATTGCAGATTATGGACTCACCGTCCCCCGTGTTCTCCTTTCAGTTACGGACGAGTTTATGCTGCCGACCCCTACCACCACACACTTGCTCCAGCCCCCACCTACAGCGTTGGTGCCATGGTGAGTACCAGGCCCTCCTCTTCCTCACTTCTTCCTGCTTCCCTTCCCTTCCCCCAGCTGGGACCTTAGCATACGGGTGGACGGTTGACGTCCTCTCACTTTCCCTTAATTGAATTTGTCTCTTGTGCTAACAGCAGCTAAAATGCCACATTAATCCTCCCAGTAAACTTGATAAATGTCTTAATTTCTTGGCAATGTAGTGCATGTAAGTTATTATATTTCTAATTTTGCAAGTCTCACCTAGCAGAGCACTTACCTTAATGGAATAATTAGTCATTTTGATAATTAAATCCATCACTAACAGAATGCAGTGTCAATGCAGAACTTTTTTTTTTCTTTTTTTTTTCCCTCCCTCGCTGCTCATTCACATAGCCCCAAGGTTCCAGCCCCAGCACAGACTTCAGAGGAGCTAAGCTGCACACTTCCAGACCTCTGCTGTCAGGCAGCTGAGAATCTGACTGCCTCTCCTCCCCTATTACAATTCATGTTTAAAGTCATAGTCGCCCAGGAAAGAAAATAGAGAGAGGGGCACACTTTGTGTGTGTGCCTAGTACCTAAGGAATTAGAAGGAATCAGCTGGGTTTGGGAGTTGTCTTTTGTTTTCGCTTTTTTTTTTTGGTGGGGGGGGGGGGGGGGGGGGGTTGTTTTTGGTGGGGGGGGGGGGGGGGGGGGGGGGGGGGGGGGCGAAAATGGGAGGTGAGGGTGGGGTGAATCTGCCTGTACTTGTTCAAACTTCTATGCACTAAAACTCTTGAGTACAGTAAGACGTGCCCATCACGTGAGAGCGTATGCAATCATTAAAAAGCTTCTGGCATGCAGTTTTCTGCTTGGGATCAAGAATACCAGACCTTATCCTAAAAACAAATCCCCGTAGGCATTCTTTGGAATCGCCCGTACTTTTAGGAAAAAAAAAAAAAAAAAAAGGGAATAGTTAAGTGCCACCTCATAGCCATCTAGAGCCGTGACCAGACACGTCACCGGAGCTTGGCCATAGAAATTCAGCCATGATTTGGAAACATTATTTTCGCACAAGCTCGATGACGTCAAGCAATTACATCCGTAAACTCCCCTCTCAAGAACCAATTCCATCCAGGGTGTCGAGCCCGGGCAAGTAAAGCAGTTGATTTAGATTTTCATGCAGATTTTGCGTTCGGCAACTCTGCCCCAACACCGAGCCTGCTTGAGGAGCGGGTTGGAGAGGAGAGTCGGTCGCGGCATCCCACCCGCTGGCTACCCCCCCTCCCCGGGCTCTCGGGGCCGGGGGCAGACGGAGCTTTGGCCGACGGGATGCCGCGTTCATGAGTCAAACGAGCCAACAGAAGGAGTCAGGGCACATCCCACCATCGCCCAGCCTGTGCCGGAGGCGTCCTCTCCAGCGGGGCTGGCCGACGGGACTCGGTCTCGCAGGGACCTTCTCTAGAGAGAGACCCCGAGGGAGGTCGGGACTGGCCGTGTCGAGAGCTCTCGGAGCCTGAGCTGGGATGGGTAGGGGGCACCTCCCTTTCGGTCGCGTGTCTGTTTCTCACAGGAGTCTTTTTTGATGATCCACGTGTTGCAAAAGGAAAATGTAAAAAACACACCCCTCAAATTGCTTTGTTTCAGAATGCTTTTGCACCCTTGACTGATGCCAAGACTAGGAGCCATGCTGATGATGTGGGTCTCGTTCTTTCTTCATTGCAGGCTAGTATATACCGAGGGGGATACAACCGTTTTGCTCCATACTAAATGACAAAACCATTAAAACCTTCCAATGTGGGGAGAGAGGAAGCTTTCCGAGGCCTGGGTATTGCAATACACGCAGTAGTACGTCATTTTAGCAGCTCTAAAAATTAAAAAAAAAAAAAAAAAGAGGAAAAAAATTACATTTTTTATCTTATACCTCAGATATTTTGTTCTGTGTATTTTAATATTGTGGGTCTTTAATTTCTGAAGGTTCCGTAGTTTGGTTGCTGGCTGTAGGAGTTTTTGTGGTTGAACTAGAGAGACGCTAGCTAGGAATAAAAACCGGTTTAGGGCCATATCCAGAGTGCTATATCATGTAAATGAATTCTATATGCTGAATCTTAAGCTACTGGGGTTATCAGCTGTCTGGGAAGAGTGTAAGTGACTACAATAGTCATTTTTTTCTGCATCTGCTTTATTTTCTTTTACGAGCGGGGAAGGGTGGGGGGGGAGGGTCTTAGGGGACGGGGACCGGGATTTGGGCTAAAAGGAAACCCAGAATAGTAACTGACGAATCCAAACGACCCACTGCACCAACAATCATATGTCAGCGGTTCTAAGTTACTCATTGAGTTCAAGCCAAAGGTTATGTTGTTTAAGGGAGTGCTTCTCCAAGCACTTTGTGCATCCAAGTTGAATGAAGCTGTGCAAACCCACCCTTTAAACCATTCCACTTGGCCGTATTCAGCTTCTCAACCAGCCGCTAGTTATTTAGGCAAAAACTGCTAGTTAGGCCATCAACAAGCATTCTTTTTATATTTCTTCCAGTATAATAAATTATTGATATCATTGCTGACTTTTATATTACGGGAGGGAAAAAAAATAACATTAATAAAAAGGTGATAAAAAAGCACTGTTTCTATTTTTTTCTTTTTTTCCAAAAAAAAGAAAGTAATAAAAACTTAAATTCTTTGTACCAGTTAAAAAAAAAATGTATAAAATTTACATCTGTGCAGTGGCGTTGTTAAGTTCTAGAAACAGTCTATGAAGCTTTAGTTTTAGCCTAGTAGAGCAACTGTTAGAGACAGATGTATAATTTTTATGGAATTACATGATAATCATATTCGGATTTATAGAAGCATTTTACAAGTATTGCAATCATTGAGTAGAGATAATCATGGTATTTTCATCAGCTTGGTACTTTTTGAAACATGACTGTGTTGTGTGAGCAATCTGCAATTTTTCCGTCCGTGAGAGCCTGCCCTCCTCCTCCTGGTCCCCGAGGAGTCTCTCAAACCAGTATCTTTAGTTCCGTCTCCAAGGCCCAGGACACTCGTCAGAAGGAAGCAAAAAAAGTGGGTTTCACCCTCCTCTCCCCATATCCCCCACCCCGCAAGAACAAAAGCTCCGTCCCCCCTACTTCCCCCAAGCAGGGCCAGAGTGACAGCCGAAAAATTGCAGTTTGTACTACTTCTGTTTGAACTCTTTCCATGTTGTCCTGTTTACAAGTTAACCTAAGTTGGGGTATCTGTCACGGGTCTTCCTGTTTTTGTATTTAAATGAAAAACAAACAGCGGCCAGCCGCCTCCAGTAGTCCCGCTGCCATAGGTCAGTCTCCTTGTGTACAGCGTAGGCCCTATGGCGCGCCCCTCAGCCGATTATCAACTCACCGCTGTGGACCTGCCAATCCGCTTTAACAACTCCGCTTTCAAACAAAACCAAACAAAACTTAAAAAAAAAAAAAAAAAAAAAAGTGTGTGTGATCCAGCTTTTCTCTCGTCATCCTATGTGCATGCAGTAAGATCGGTTGGATATTAAACCATCAATAAAGTTTCACAAGATTTGAAAACAAAGTTTCTGGAGCTTCGCTATCTAAGACAGATGCTCGGGGGATCTGGAGAGAAGCCAAGGGGTGGTGTGGGGGGGGGGGGGCACTGCTTAGCAGCCAGAAGCACGCAGGTCAGATGTCCTTTTCCACAGACTGATGTGGGTGGGGGAGCGAGGGGCCAGAGCAGGTGTTTTTAGGCCATTCTCATTCCCCCACCTAGATGACAGTGCTAGGACCGTGGGTGCCTGGCAGATGGGTTTCTAATTCCACGAAAACACTCTGGCACCATGCCCCCCGGAGGGGAGAGAGGTCGAAGGGACATGGCGGGGGAGGGGGGCGCTCGGGAGAACCCAAAACTCTCTCCCGATGGCCTCTGAGGTCAAAAATCCAGAATTTGCATTGTATTTGGAATCACAAACATAGAATTCTTACTGTGTGGGTTCAAGTAAAATTAATTTGCAGTTTTGATTTTCATCAATGAGCTATACTTTCCCCCATGACTGTATGTAGTTTTAATAAAATCATTTAGAGCAAGTGAGTGCCCCATGATGTTCCAAAACCTTTCGTCTGGGCACTCCACCAAGATGCCAATAAGTCATTTTAAAATGTATGTCAGAGATGTAAACGAACATTTTGGATTTTTTTAAACAGTATTTATTTGGAATGTTTTCATTTATCTAAGTAACTATTGCTATTATGAATTATGGAAAAAAAAGATTAATATCACGTGTGGCATATAGTGACTTCTTAACACACACATCACGCAATCTGCAAACCCAGAAAATGTGTATATCTGTCTTTAGAAATTAGTGTTTATATCACTTACAGTGGTTTGTGAATAAAGAAAAACTGGTTTGTAATATCAAAAAAATAAAAGCTTAGTCTGAAAAGGTACCTGCGAGTCGGTGTTCTGAGTCCTTTTGCTTCCGTGCGTTTCCTGGGATGGGTAGAGTCCAAGAGCACACGCGTGGCCGGAGTCGGGCCTGCTGGCGGTCCGGGGCTGTGGGCACTGCAGGGGTGACGGGGTGAACAGGGCCGCCGGACTCAGCAGGCACTCCTTGCGCAGTCGTCTTTCCAAACGAGTCTGGGGAAGGAACCAGAGACGTTTGAGAAAGAAACAGAACTCAGGTGACCGATTCTCCAGCAAGGGAAATGTCTCCAAAACAGCCACAAAAACTGTGCATTTCAAACAAAACATATGAGCAAGTCATTAATGCAGCTTTGGGGGGGGGCGGGAGGCACAGGGGAAGAAGATAAACACGAGCAAGGGCTACAGTGTCCGCTTCCCAAGGGCTCACTATGACCCAAGGGTCCTGCCCAGCCTCCGGTGCGCCTCATTTCATCGAATTATTCAATGTTGCCATGAGGGTTGAATCTCGGCCCCATTTAGAAACCGAAATACCATCGCCATCCTATCATTTAATTATCGTGCGATCCCGTCACGTTGGTAACACATATAAAGACCAAACAAAACGGGTTTGAAGCCTGATCCGGTCACTTGTGAGCCAGAGCCAGGGCAAAGCTGAACCAAAGCCCTGGGCCCCAGGCTCCTCTCCCGTAATTCAGGATCGTGGTGACACCCACCTGTTCACGCTGTCGTGCATGATAAATGAGAGAGTACGTGACAGAACCGTGAGCTCCTATGACGTGAAGTCCCACATCGAGTGAGCAGCGAGTTCGACCTTCTAGAAGGTGCCATCCTAACCAAAGCGGGTACGTATGCTCTCCCGGCCGACGGAGGGCTTGTAGCTTTCAACTGTAGAGCCGAGAAACCTCACCCTCAGGGCCAAAGGCTGATTCTCGTTCTCCCGTCCTCCTCGCGCAGCGCAGGCAGTCTCCGTAGTGTGACTCATGCCATGTCAAGTGCATCCACGGGTCCCTTTTCTGTAAACTCCTCGCGCACGGGGCTGCGCAGGTCCACACCAACTTCTAATGCCCGACCGAGGTTCTGGGAAGGTAACATTTTATGAAAGTAGACAAGACGGACTGACAGGTCATATGATTTGCCCAAAGTCACGTCTAGCGACGAC